TGAAGAAATTTAATTAAAACTTAATCCAGTCTAGACTGTGAGTTCTGTTCTTCATGCTACTATTGTTCAGTGGCATCAAATGCATCATAATTATATGTGGGAAAAGCTAGTAAGGATGCCAGTAACTTGTTTAAGTAAGGTTTATGTAATTCTTAAAGCTCACCAAATATAAGTTACATTTCAAAGTTTTATACGGTTTGGGGGAATCTCTATCAAGCCAATAACAGGTAGTTTGTAAATAGAAATATGCTCTATGAAAATAGTGTTATATCATCTCATATGCATACAAGATGAAAAATTATCAATCTGCATATAAAATTTAGGTAGGTCTAATTCAGACAACAGTCAAAAACTATAATTTAGACAGGGACTGGGGCTAGTATTCCTTTTTAAAAAAAGATTGTGCCATAAGAATCCCATAAATAAAATTACAGGAAGAATCATGTCCTAAAGTTTCTTCAGTATTTTTTAAATACCCTCATTAACTTAGAAGTACTTATAAAAATGAATATGTTGGCCGGACGCAGTGGCTCACGCCTGTAATCCTAGCTCTCTGGGAGGCCAAGGCGGGCGGATTGTTTGAGCTCAGGAGTTCATGACCAGCCTGAGCAAGAGCAAGACCCCGTCTCTACTAAAAATAGAAAGAAATTAATCAGACAACTAAAAATATATAGAAAAAATTAGCCGGACATGGTGGCGCATGCCTGTAATCCCAGCTACTCGGGAGGCTGAGGCAGAAGGATCACTTGAGCCCAGGAGTCTGAGGTTGCTGTGAGCTAGGCTGATGCCACGGCACTCTAACCCAGGCAACACAGTGAGACTCTGTCTCAAAAAAAAAAAAAAATGAATATGCTAATCATAAATAATTCAGATAAACATCTAGTTTATACAATCGACTGGTTCAAATAACTAAACTAAGAAATATTTAGTTAAGACTACTTTATGTCACTCTAAGACTTGAAAGCAATACATCTGTTTATTTTTGTTACCAACTACTCACGTTTCATTAATTCAGGAAAGGTAGTATACCGTAAAGAGCAATTGATCACCGCTGAATACTTGTATGGCATTAAAGCTTTAGGAAGAGCTTTCTGGTCTGGCCTCCTCATCTGGAAAATGGTAAAAGTACTTTTCCTGGTTACCTCACAAGGTTTTTGTAATATTAAGTTAATAGATACGGAGGGTCTTGGGATCTAAAAGTCACTATAAAAACGTCTAGAACGTTTCCATTATTCCAAATTAGTAATGTTTTGCTTTATGCCAAATGGATATGTCTCAACAAGTTTGGTTTTCTGGATGATTTCTGCCATTTATATTATTCTGGTAGCTGTATTTAGAAAAATATTCAAGTTTATACCTTTGAAATGCCTCACCAAACCAAAAATAGAACATTCACACCAGTATAAAAACTGTTAATATATAAAAAATGTACACTGACACAAATCGTAAGAAAAGGCAGAAAAAACAGAACTTTAAAGCTCAAAGTTACCATAGAGGTCTTTTAATCTCTCTCTCCCATTTTATGGGTTACAAAAATGAGACCTAACATAGGATGTGACTTACCAACAGATTGCACATATCCCTCATCCAGAGTTTTTAACAGAGTCTCTGATATTAAAATAAATTACATTCCCTATTTTAAAAGCCACAGGGTAACAGGAGAACCAAGTAAAGAAATGACAGATTGAAAAGGTTTGGGTCTTTAAAAACACACAAACAGAAACAGATAAAACTGTGAATATGTCTAGCATTTAGATATTGAGATTTTACAACCATTAATGGGATATAAATTATTAACCAGTGAATAGACAATCATGTGGTATCTGTGGTAGGTTATGTTCCAGGCTTTTAAATTTTATAAATGAAAAGCGTGGTGCCTACATTAACTCAGTATACGCACATTATTAATAGATGCTACATGTAAATCCAAACAGTTAAAAAATCTGTAATAGATTATTTACTAAATTATGTCTCATTTAATCCTAAAAATCAATCTGTATTCCCTGAGTACAAACTGGCTAGGGAATAAGAGAAAGCAAGCACAGAATTATGTAACTGTCCTGGAAAACCTATTTTCAGAAAAAGGAGAATTGTTTGTGCTACATATAGCCAATTCCCTGACACAGAAATACAATTATTTCTGATTAATTTAGGTTCCTGGATTCTCTTTATATTAATAGATGGCTAGTATCAAGGAATGTAAACACTTGAGATTACAAAAGTGTCTCTTAAAAGGTTTGTTGATCAAAACGAAAACCCAACTTGTAAATGGTTTGCCTACTTTCCTCCCTGAATATTCAATTTAAGAAGGTGTCTGGTCCTACATTAAAAGATAACAGGGATTAGATCTAAATGTGGTATCCTACACAAAAGTATTTAGAAAATGTTCACTTACTACACATTTTGAAAGTAAGAGTCAGTGATACTGACTCATTACCCCTAGAGCCATAAGCATGAGTCACTTAATCTTTTTTTTTCAAGTAATCACATTATTTAAGGTTTTTCAGTCACTCGACATAAAAAAAGAATCAATGTTGCACCCAAACAATACCACAACCTGATTAAGAAAATCAAGGTGCTATACAAAAAATTGTAGACATAAAAAATTCTGTTTAGTACAGCATTCACTCAAGATGAACATGTGTGCAAGTTAAAATGAAATGATTCTGAATTTGAACCAGATTCTTCCCAACAACCAAGGGAAAAAGGAGGTACTACCTTAATTTCATTCTTAACTACTCTAATTATGGCAACCTGGGACATAATTTTCCTAACAGTTTCCAAATTTTCTTTTTCTCATCAGATGTTTAAAAATGGCTGATAAATTTGGCCAAAGCCGGGTTAAACAAAGTTACATGGTTTTTTTTTTCATAGAAGGACTTATCAGTCTTTAATGCTCATATCCATTGTCATTCTTAAGGGATATAGAGTAGTGTGTAACATTTTTCAAACTTACTCCATGGATTCTTTTTTTTTTTCTGCAGAGCATATCACAGGATATACTTTGAGAAATGCTATTCTAGAACCATATAGAGTCCATGATATAGCTAAGGCCTTACCTATAACCTAATAGAAAATCTCCAAAATCTTAACTGGAAGAAATTGTTCTTAGCCCAGATCTACCTATCACATCCAAAGTTCATAAGACTAAAATGTGGGAATTTTGTGTTAGCAACTGATTCTTTCCCCCTCTGTGCCCACAGGCAGCAAACAGCCTGCTATGACAATGTTCTAGCCCCTATGATACTGGACTAAGACTCCTGTAATTGACTCCTCTACAAACCAATTTACTATACCCACTAGATTCACGGAGTAGCTATGTTTGAAAAACTTACACACGAAAGCACCAAAACTGTGACTGTTGGTTCTCCCAAAATTCAACAGGTAACTATCAAATGTAGATGTTCATAAATAATGGCAAGAATGAGAAAATTGTGAATAAATTGACTCAAAAAACATGATAATCATCGATATAAAGTAATTTTGATATAAACAAGTTTCTAATATCTGATTTATTAGACTAGCAAAGCTAATGCCACTAGATTCCTTCTCACTGTTTCTCTGTCTTTAAAATTGGTATGGATTTTGTCACTAGGGATAAGGGATCTTATTAGCTCCTTATTTCTAAGATCATCCCATTCACAACCAGGCAAATATTAATAGGTGTCCCTGTTTTTCCCAAAAGAGGTATGTACACATTTGGAGAAGCCAAAACTACATAGTATCTATAACACATATCAGACTAACACAGGACTGCTTATCCCTATACAAATAATCATTAAAAGTATTACCCTTTGGTGCCACGAGATGGCAGTCTTTCAAAGATTAAACCTTAAACTATCTCAAACTGCAACCCCACCCTCTTTCCCAAATTGGTGAACAAAGATTCCTTTCGTTTTGATATTAAGAAGTAAGACTTACAAGTTATTTAACACCATTTTTAAAAGGTCTACAAAACAACATGATGTGACACAATGCAAACTCCTGACTCAAAAACTATTTAAAGATAGACATGCTTGTCTTCCACAAACACAGGAGAAACCTGGTCTAACATTCTCATTTGCTTCTTGGTAGAAAATACATTATTTTTGGCAAAGAGAAACCTGTCAAGGTAATGTCATTTTCTGTTTTCAAGAGCTTAATATTTTCTAGGGTAAGTCAGGTAAATGAGATTATTAATTACAGCATACACATAAATGAATAAATACAAATTAGATAAATTACACATAATTTAAAAATTAAATACTTTTACTAAAACAAAATATAATCAATGAGCTACTATCTACCCTGCTATATATAGTTTGTGGAGTTTTTAATCTTAAAAAAAAACCTTCACAAAGCAAAACAAAAAAACTGTTTGGTTTTCAATTAAAAGCACTGGTATGTGAATACATATATGTATATATGTAAACAACACATATGTTTATTCAAGAGAAAATTTTTTAAAATATTTAAGGCTTCCCTGCCCTACCAGGTTCAACAGTGAAGGTCACAGCCTATCAAGCTTTGGAAGTACATAAAAGCCCTTAGGGCCAGAACAGTGTTTTCAAACTGAATGGTTAGCAACCCAGAAAGGGAACCAGAAAAAACTCAAAAACTAAGTCACAATCAGCCACTGAGGATCAAATAATGAACAAACACTATAGTGCCTAGGGAAGGTGGGGGAAGAGGATGGCTTCAAATGAAGAATTAGTGTTGTAAAATACAACAGGATCCTAACAACCTAACACACAAAATAAAAGATCAAAGATAAAGGATAATCTCTTTTAAGGGATTGTTGATATTTTGCTTTGTTTCATTTAACTATTTTATTCTTGGTGAAGTACAAAAATAAATAGAATCAAAAAGAATTTGAGAAAGGTAGGTTTTAAAGGTATATTTTAAAATGACAAAAGTCTATTGGAAAAGATGAAAATTGTTGCAATTCCAGATGTTCCAAAATTAAGTTGAACCTTGAAGGCTACGATAAATATATTATTCAAGGAAACATCAAGATATAATCCAGAATCAGGTGCAGCTTTTTTAAAGGAACCTGGAAATTGCGGTTACCTCTTATAGGACCATGGCCTTTCTGTTGAACACTAGGCAGTATCTGTAAAGAACTGTTAGAAGAACTTGGCTTCTGAAATTTTGGGGGCAAGCTTTTAAGATTTCAGCATTTAAATAATATCTTACTAATGGTTGTTTTACTCTCTAATCTTCCTGTGCAAGAAAACAGGGACATCAAACAGTTTAAGGCCTACTGAAATTTAGGAAGTAAACTGAATTTACCTAAACAGTAAAGCAAGGAGGTGTTGCCAAACCACCCTTACATTGAGATGGTTTGTCAGTGAGGTGTATTAATCATTTGCAGTGAACTTACAATTGTAATTAACAATCTTCATCCGTGTTCACCTATTAAAGATATTGCCTATGTGCATTTATCATAGGCACAACAGAACTGCAGATTTCTACAAGCAAATGTCAGATTTTTTTGTTTTCAGTAATTTCACCATCATGTGTGTCCCCTGGAGATACTCACATCCCTCAATTAGTATTGCAGAGTAAGTTATCCAGAAGTAAGATAATAATTTAAAGAATATATCTCATTTTCACAGTGCAATAACATAAAGATAGCAACTAGGGACAGATCATCAACGGGCTAAAGTAGTGATCAGACTGGCACACATTTCAAAAAAATCCATGGTGTGACTGCCCAGGCGAGGTGAAACTGAAGATGATGTGCTTCCGGAGGTCAAAGAGCCAGTGAGAGAGCTAGAAAGTGAATGGCTCTCCACAGTTGCAGAATCAAAACTTGATCTTGGTCTGTGTAAGCCAGCAGCAGAACAAGAACGCTGAGGTGTTGAGGAACCAGACCTCTGCTCCACTACCTCATCTGAAATGGACCAAAGAAGAGCAATTTATATGAAAAGTATATTTGCCCAAGCCCTTCCTATGAAGTTATGCTATTCATAATATTAAGTAAATGCAACTCAGCAAGGGCAACATAATAATGAATGTCATGTTTTAGTGTGTTAGGAGCAGGGGTGGCAGTACCTCTTCCCTGCCACAATCATAGCAAACAACACTTATCAATCACAACACTTACACACAAAATGTGACCCCCTAAATCCTTCTCAACAGCATATCTGGCATTAACACTGAAATCAAACTGATATTCCTGCACATGAAGAAAGCACATTTTTGGCACTTATTTTCTTCTAACATATCAACAAAAAAAATCATTATGATAAAAACAAAAGTTACCATCGTACAGTGGTTCTGAACCTTCAGTGCACATAGGAATTGCCTTGGTTAGGAGAAGCAATGTGAGAGAAATCTTGTTAAAATGCAGAATCCCAGTTTCCCAGGACCAGTCTCCAGAGATTCTGATTTGATAGGTCTGGAGTGGTTCCCAAGAATCTGCACTTTAATAAGAACAATAGGTAATTTTAATGAAAGTGATCTGGGATCTGTATAAACATTCCTATAGTTGACGGTAATTTGAGAATAAAATTTAAGTGCTTTGTTTATAACAATTTCCCTAACTCTAAACTCAGTTCTACTCTTGTTCCATCTCTAGCACCTGACCCTTGGTTTACTCTATTTTTATCCCACTTGGGCCTCTGAACTGAATAATCATATTTGATTTACTTGGGTTTAATTCTCGGCACACACTAAGTACTTGGACGTGACCATTTTCTGTGATTCCTTTGGCGCCTAGGTTGCCATGGATACCTAAATCCAACCCAAATCCCAGCAGAGACCTATTTGGTCACCTTGGCCACAGGATGAGGGAAGCTGATGAAGGAGAAAGTTTAGATATTAAATCTAACTAACAAACTGTGAGTGGAGAAATGTTAGAAAGAACCTGAGAAGTTGGCTAATTTTAGGTAAAAGTTGCTTCCTTGTTGTTCCTTACCTTTGCTCCACAGTCAACACTTCAAATGACGTTTTTATGCCAAGGAAGCACTTTTTTTGGAAAGGTGCAAGGTAAGAGATATTCCATGTGTCTTTCATCCTTTTCATTTCACTTACATTTTGCTTAAGTCTAGATTACTTAAAAATCAGTGCAAAAGACCTACCTACCATGTCTCTGGAAAGATTTTAACATCTGGTCAACTAGTGCCAAGTTTTCTCTTCTCAGAGCTCATGCCTGCAAAGCTTTCTTACCATCAATACTCTTAAAGTCCAAAAGATAGCTCCTGTTGTCAACTAGGTAAAGTTGTAAGCTCATTTTGACATAGTTCCCAGTCACTGGATTTTTTCTTCTCACACGAAGATGGTATGCATTCACTACCTAAAATGGGAAATCAACAAATATAACAAACTATAAAATGTCTCCCTTCTTATTGTGAAGAATGTCAAAAACAAATAATTGATAGCGGTTGTGTAGGGAAGGAATTTCTGAATTTTTTTTTTTATATTATAGGTAGTTTGCTTTAGCATTTATTTAATCCCCACTAGTGGTACTGTTGGTGTACAGCAATTAAAATGTAAAACAAAAACTACTTGAATGAATTTGGGGTACTAAAAAAAATGCAAAGGGAACTCAGAGATTATACACAGTCTAGCCTTCACTCCAGATATGCATCTTCTGCAAACATCAATAATAACTTTGGTTGCCCAGTCTCTGCTGGAATACTTTTACCGATGAAAATGGAGTACAGGGAATAAAGGGGAACTAACATGTTAATGGTCTGCATCAGGTACCATCACAAAATTGAAGTATCACAAATCCCTTGAGGAAAATATTACTTGACTTTTGAAGAAAAAAATCCTGAAGCTCGGGAAAGGAAGATTTTGGGTTTTCAAAACATCTATGAAATTAGTTTCAAAAATTTTTCGGTACAAATTTTTAAAGATGTTAACATCTCTTTGTAATTACGTAAAACTGTTTCAAAAATGAGAGATCTGTTTTTTAAATGGTTTTAAGAAAATATTTATTCATTTCATGTACAAATAATGAAATGAGAATGACTGATTTACTCAAACATGTCAAGTGAATATTTACACGGTAAATTCAAACATTTTCTTCTTCCTTTAAAAAAAAATGTTCACAGTCCACAAGAAAAGAGCAAGAGTGAAAGAAGTATCTGAAATGAAAAAATGCTCCCCTTATATATTCAAATAGAATTGAAATGAAATTCAGCACTAATTTTTTAAAAAAGCAAAATGTAGGCTGAGGAAGTACTAAAAGCACCAGCCAATTAATTAAGAGAGAATTTCCCAACTTGGAGGAAAGTATTTGTTTACTGAATAAATATGTCTTGATGGTATAATATGTATCAACCACTAGCTATTATAGCCACCCGATCCTGTCCTCCAAAGAAAGAAAAGAAAAAACTCCCTAAAAAATGAGAAAGTAAAAATATACTATCTTTGAAGACTCATGAATTTTTACTGCTATCATGCATGCTGAAACAGGCTATTTTCTCTGTTGATTTCAAGTTGATTATTTGTTGTTTCTCAATCAAGAATGCTATTCTATAATTCAAAATATGTAGGTTCCCAACATCAATAGCTCTCATCCTAATATAGAGGTTACTTGTTTTGTTTTGAATGCACATGGTATATTATTGGAAAGAATGGTGTTTGTCAGCCAAAAGTATCAAGACAACTAAATTTATATCTAAATCAAAACCAACTTTTTATTGACCTCAATACTCAATGCAGCAGCTCAGAGCAGCTTACTATATAGAAAAATGGCTTCTACAAATTATCTTAATATGCTACAATTTCCTACCTTCCATTCAAAGTCCAGCTGCTTCATAGCTCGGTAAACTTCAGCCATAATGTCATATGGTTTGCTCTGACTTCGGATTCCAAGATGCCATTTGGCTTTTTTCACCGCTAAAGATTTGGGCTTAGTCGTATTCAGTGCATCCAGTGGACATTTTGCTTTGGGGCTGTCTGCTATAAGAGGTGGCATCCTTTCTGGATGAGGTTTCAGGCCTGGGGGGATATGCATGGCACTATCATCCATAAAAGAACCAGTTGGAGGACTTGAGGCGAGGTAGAACTCACTGGCTTGGTTCATTATTCTCCGATTGTCAATGATAAGATGATATGCCACTGCAAGCTGGTCTTGAGGGTCACCACTATACAAACTGTTCATTACTTCTGATTCTGTACACTCAAATTTTTCACACACTTCTTTCACAGCCTCATCGTCAATGACATTGGCGTCATAGGAGGGGTCTTCAGGAAATAAGTAACTGGGCAAATCTTGTTTAAACCATTCATGCTCTCTAGGAAAAACACCACAATACACTATCGTAAGAACATGCTTTAGCAAGTCCCAGATAATTTAGACATGGGGCAGCACAACACAATAGAATCAGAAAGACCTCATCTCTGCTCCCAACTCTGCCACTTACTAGCTATGTGACCCTGGGCAAGATAATTAATTCCTACCCTGGAAAAACTATGGCTATTAAGACTTGAGTATTTGGCTGACATTTTCTCAAAAATGAACAAAGTAAGCCTGTCACTTCAAGGAAAATAACTGACAGTATTTGTTGCCAATGATAAAATGCTGATGAAGGAGAAAGTTTAGATATTAAATCTAACTAACAAACTGTGAGTGGAGAAATGTTAGAAAGAACCTGAGAAGTTGGCTAATTTTAGGT